CCGTTTCAAGGAATTAGAGGTCGATGCCATCATGAGCTTCCAGTGGTCGCAGCTCGCCCCTTCATACCTCCCCAACACGTTCCCATCGCTCGCCGACTACCGCCGCCAGAACCTGCAAGCCTATGCCGAGATCGAGAAAGCCGGTCGTCCGGTCACATACGGGAGTGACTGGCCAGTGGATCCTCTCGACGAGTTCCTCGCTCTGAAGATAGCAGTCACGCGGTCAGGTGATCCCGGTAATCCGCATTCCTCGGCATCTCAGGGCGCTCCTTACAATGGCACGTTTCCTGGTGAAGGCATCTCACGCGAAGCTGCTCTTCGCGCCATCACTATCAACGGCGCCAAATTTCTCAGGGCCGACAAGTACATTGGATCTCTCGAGGTTGGCAAATTTGCTGACCTGATCGTCTTGGAAAACGACTACTTCACTGTGCCGGAAGAGAAGATTGGTCGCCAACGTGTCCAGCTCACCATGGTAGGAGGTGAGGTGGTGTATATTGCTAAAGAGGCTGATCAGAAGTTTGGAAATATCACTGCCAAGTATCCTGACGATGACAAAGCGAGTGTAGCTCTGGATCGCAAGGCAATCGGCGGCTTGGACCGCAAGCAGGTGTCGATGAAGGGAGCCGTGAATGCGGCGAGACTGAGGAAGAGGAATGAGTGCGTGCACCATTGAAGGGCGTAGCCACCTGGTGGTAGCATGACCCGATATGTCTATGGCGATTAGATCATGTAGCTTCACGGAATTAGCATTACGAATAGAACATTGTTATAATGTGCTGATTAGAGTACTTCAAGAGTGACATGATGTATGCCTGAATTGCGGTGCAGGTTGTGCGATAAGTCATCCTCAGACGGGACAATGACCTTGTAAGACTACCGAAATTCGGCATAAGCGAAATGCGCCGGGGTCAGTACAGGCTGCAGTTCGCCATAAGAATACAGGCCCATCATCATGCCAGTGAAAGGCTGCCCAATGTCTGGGTTACGCGTCATGATCTGGGTATCAATCTCGCCCAGCCATGTCCATTCAGCGCTCTGCTGTGCCCCATCGCCGACTTCCCGATAGCCAAACCGGTAGGACGTAGCAGTACTCTCGATAGTGAGTTTTACCTCACCCTTCTCTGAGATGGGTTGCTCCACAGTCTCCATGTCTGGACGGGTAAGTCGAATGATTCGTTGAGGCTGACCATTGCGATCTGCAAAAGCAATGCCAAGGCTGGAGTAGCAAGTGTGATTCCAGTACAATACGGTTCCGGCCTCGACGCGTGGGATGTTCGGTTGGAAATCTAGTTGAGTCTCCCACGTCACCGGCCAATGTCTTTGCTTTCGCAAGAATAGCGTCGGACACGCGGGCATCGAGAGGGTGTATGGACCGCCATTTAGGGTAAGAGAATCGTGTCGCGCTGTCATCGAGTAGTCTTTCTTCACAGGCGTATCTGCAGGCGTGTTAGGTTCGCACCGCACGTCGGCTTTTTGAATTGCTTACTCTTCCTGTACCAGCCAAGGCCGAGCCTAACCCCGCTGAAATCGTCCCTCCAAGCCTTGTCGTCACCAAGAGTGGACTCTTTCGGCCCGTTCATTTGCAGTGTGACCGGTTTTCCTTCGTTAAAGATTGGCCAGTCATTTTCCCAACGGACTGGGAGTAACATTGACTCGCGTCCAAAGACCGAAGTTCGCCATTCGTCGCCTTCCTCTTCCTTCCTTGGTCGCACACCTAGACACATGGCCCACCATTGGCCTTGGGTGTCCTCAACAATATCGCAATGGCCAGTATTTTGGATCTCGTCGTCTGTTGTGTTGCGCCAAAGCGGGTTGTGCGGTGCTTGCTCCCAAGGTCCGAAGGGGCTTTCCCGACTCCGGCTCACATATTCGCAGTGCCCAGACTCTGTGCCTCCCTCCGCCGTGAAGAGATAGTAGTAGCCGTTCAACTTGAAAAGATGCGATCCCTCTGATATACCAGACTCCGACTCCCTCACCATCTTAGGCGTAGACTTCAACGTACCAGTTTCCAGGTCAATGGTAGATATATGTATCGCAAAGTCTTTCAATTTGCCCCCAGGAGTCCGGTCAAGCTTCCTGTAGGTGGAAGACAAGTACACCTGACCATCATCATCCCAGAACAGGTCGAAGTCAAAGCCAATTTGGTCGAAGTACACAGGTTCGGACCACGTGCTGTCGTTCCAGATGTTGGTGGTCTTGACATAGAAGCCTCGGGGCCATACGCGATCGTCGTTTTGCGGTCTGTATCGATCGAAAGAGTTGGTAATGATGTAGTATGTACCCTTGTGGTAACGAATGGTTGTCGCCCAGATACCACCTCCCGGTTCAGGAGTCTTGATGTCCAATTGTGACTTGCGCGTGAGCGCATGGCCGATTAGCTTCCATTTGATAAGATCTTTACTGTGATATATGGGCGCGCCAGGAAAGTATTCGAATGACGAGGTGACACAGAAGTAGTCGGTACCCACGCGAATGACGGACGGGTCTGGGTTAAAGCCAGGGAGAACTGGGTTCGTAAAAGCAGTCATGGCGAAAGTCGCTACTTGAATTTTGGTTTTGGGCGATTCAACGTGGAATGAGGCTCAAAGGCTTGTTGAGTATATAGGCCCATTGCGCCGCGGCTGCCATCTTCCGCTGTGAGCCGCATGCCGCGTCTGCGGATGAGGCTGAGACCATTTTGACGGCCGATGAGTGGGAGCCCAATCGCGTAAAAGTACGGTCGCGCGTTTTTCCTCGAATCACAATATGTGTGGACGTATCCCGTGATGTTCCAGGCCTTCCGAGGAGCTATCGCGAGAGAAACACGGGGGAGATGGAGGATTGAGGGGTAAGGCTTGGCGGGGCCAAGGCGTTCCTTCACGGGCAAATCTCGGGCTTCTCAACAAAACAACACGCCCGTTTCGCGACACACGCGGCAGCCGACACTCCCTCTGCACTCATCCACAGCAAAACATCATGTTCGCACGGAAGCGAGTGTGCCGAATATGCGCTTTGTGATCGCGATACAGTGGGTAGCGCTTACATTGCCAGACGCGCTCACATCTACTTAGGTGTGCTAATGAAATATCCTCAATAGGTAACTGCCATACCACCAGGAAGCTCCGTCAGCCAGTCACCGCTCACTCCGACATCTTCAACCGCCTGTTGCGGTTTCTTGCATTTCATCGAGTCTTGCGCAGACTGAATCTTCAACACCTGACAGTTGGCGTTCGCACACTTGCCGCTTGGCAAAGCATCCATGGCTTTCTGTAGCGAGTCGTCTTTCCAGCCAAAGAGGTAATCGCCATGCTGTCCGTACCCCGTACTGTCTACGGTCAGTCATCATCAAAGAAGCGAAAAGAGGAGTGCTCACCCATCGCCAAAGCTGTACACGAACGGCTGCTTGTTGTTGCCGTACCATGCGTTGTTCTTGTACCGGCCGGTGTCCCACATGATCTCGTACATCACCTGCGGGATAGCTACCGGGTGCGTACTGGGACAGTTTGGGGTACCTAGGCCTCCGCTGTTGGAGTATGCGACGTGGCTCTTGTGATCTGGCGAATCGAGGTTCTTCCCATCCCAGCAAGACGGAAAGATGACAGTCGCCCTGATGCCACCAGGACAGTACTTGTTGGGCAGTTCTGCGGTGTCTTTCGCGTCACAGGGTGCAAAGCCTTCTCCATTTTGCAAGCAACGATGGCAGATGCTTGCGCGATTAGGCTTCTTGGCCATGGGGTCACCCGCAATCATGCGGAACCCAGGCTTGAAGGCCGTCATCTTGTTATTCTTTGCGGAATACGGCATGTAATAGACTGTCATACCACCGTCTTGCTGGAGCCCTACGTTGGCGAACTGGGGCACACGTTGGAATGTGCCATTCTCGGGCGATTTGAAGTAGAGCGAGGCAGTCCAGTAGTTGCTGAAGTCCTCGCTGTATGTGCAAGACGTACAGGTCGAACGTGTCGGAGGATCAAAGACACCAGGCTCCATCTATGGTCTGTCAGCGGAGGTGTTGTTCATGGGCCGGGTGAAGTATTACGGTAAGATTGAAGGAGTTTCCTCCGATGATCTGATGCGTGTGTGGTGAGGGTCGTTGGCCGGGGTTCACCAACGGATCGGCTCTCTCAACGGTGAGCTGCGAGCAGGCGAAGCGCAGCATGTTCTGCGCAGAGACGCATTGCGTCAAGAGCGCGCTGGCGAAGACGGTGGACCAAATCATGACGACAGTGGTATGACTAGCTACTGGTGAGTTGCGAAAGCCATCAGGTCGAAGTTACGAGGCTTCTTAAGCCAAGGAGTCTTCATGACGTCCATCCAAGGTGGAGGCTTGCTATCAGTGAGTATATTACGGTGTGACGGCAGTAGTACTTCTCCTCCCAGTCATACCAATGACAACGCGACAGATTTTCCAGTCGTACATCTTGTGACGTTCATTCCACAACGAATCTGTGGCGATTGTTCGACTCGATCATTTGGATGAAGTCGTTAATTAACACAAGTTACCGGCAGTTGCAGCTACAATACCGAAGGCAAATCACAACAAGCTTTCGCTTCCGAGACTGCCGACAGGGATCTTGTTGTGCACAGTCGGTCATTGTACAGGTCTGATATTGATTGCTGCAGCTATCGGCATGAGTGAAGCATGGGGGAACAAGTCCAGGGCAAGAGAATCCGGTAGAGAATCTCGGGAGTTGGTACCGCGAGTGGAAGCCGTACGGCAGCGGCCTCTGTCTTCGCATTCTCATCCTTCCGACTGATGCCATGGACTTCAAGGTCTGAGGAGACATGGGGTTGTCAAAGTATCGTGTTGCTTTCGGCGGATTTGCTGCAGTCCGGCTGCGACTGCCCCATTGGGCGTTTTGCGGGGGTGAACCGAGGATGTCTGCGACATCCGAGCGCCAATACTTCTAAACGATGAAGCTGGGTACCATGTGCGTCGGGGAAGTATCGTCTCTTCTCTGGAGACAGGTACTTCTATCCGTCTCTACTTCAGTTGCGTAATTGCTTTGCATGCCAACATGACGCAACAGCCGCCTCAGGCTTCCTCCTCAACATCAGGATTCTTCCAGGCCCTTCCGGTACTTCCGCCACAATATACCAGTCCGACTTTGCTACCAAAGGCTTTCCGTAGTCCGCACTCGGAGTCAACACAAGCTTCCGATGACAAAGTTATCGCGCGGATATTAGATCTCTACCTGCCACAGGATGCAACGGAGGCTACCAAGCGTGCCCATCACCTAGCACGTCTATCACTTAATCCATCTATTCTGAAGTACGCCACGGATGCGGAGACCAACCACCCGGTACTGCGTCCGCTCTCTACCTTCGGTGCGGAAAACAAGAACGATCCGTTGTGGACGACGACAGGATGGCAGAAGCTAAAGGAGATCGGCTATCGTGAAGGTGTCGTCTCGGTAGCTTACGACAAGTCTCATCGCCACTTCAATAGACGCGTGGGACAATTTGTCGGAGGCCATGTATGGGGCCCGACTGGTACCATGACCGCATGCCCTCAAAGCATGACCGATGGCGCCGCGACATTGTTGAACAAACACAAGAACGACGAAGATGGCGATCAGCCGGGTCGAGGCGAAGTGCTACGGGAAGCGTATCGGCGAGTGTGTAGTCGCGACCCTGATGTGGCTTGGACAAGCGGACAATGGATGACTGAACGATCTGGCGGAAGCGATGTATCCGGCACGGAGACACTTGCTCGACGCATGACACCGCAGGAGCTGGAAGAAGATGCAAACCAAGGAAGAGATAGCGATGCAGTTGGTATGCAACTGGGCTCCTGGAAGATACATGGTTTCAAGTGGTTCAGCAGCGCAACGGACTCAGAGATGGCTGTACTCCTCGCGCGAACAGACAAAGGCGCTCTGTCTGCCTTCTACATGCCCATGCGACGACGCGTGGGCGCGCAAGCGCTGGAGAGTCATACCCTAAACGAAGAAGCCCCGCCCCTCACCGAGCTCAACGGCGTTCGCATCCAGCGTCTGAAGAACAAACTCGGAACCAAGTCACTACCAACTGCGGAGCTCGAGCTCAACGGCGCACGCGGTTGGCTCATCGGTAAGGAAGGTCAGGGTGTGAAGGAGATTTCCGCCATTCTCAACATCACGCGACTATATACCGCAGCTGGTAGTGTAGGAAGTTGGGCTCGTGGTCTGGCAATTTCCCGCGCCTACAGCAAAGTACGCAAAGTGCGCGGCGGACTACTCCAAGACAACCCAGCGCATCTCGCATGGATGGCCGAAGAAACAGTCAAGTACTGGGCCAGTGCGCACTTCACCTATCTGGGTGTTGCTCTACAGGGCGCTTTGGAACAGGATTGGGACGAGATGGTCGCGAACACAAAGGCCGCACATTTGATCCCGAGCGACAAGACCACGATAGCGGCTCTTCTGAGATTGTTGTTACCCGCGATGAAAGCTCAAGTCAGCGTCGCATCCGTTGATGGCCTGCGACAGTGCATGGAATGCCTTGGTGGTGTCGGGTACTGCGAGAACAACGAAGACGGCGGGCTGATGAACATCGCGAAGATCTATCGTGACAACCTCGTCAATCCGATATGGGAAGGCACTGTCAGCGTCATGGCAGAAGATGTCGTTCGGGTACTCACTGACAAGCGAATGGGCGGCGGCGATATCATGAAGAACATCTTCACACCGTGGGTCAGGGACGTGCTCGGTCGATGTGCTCCCATGTTTCAAGATCAAGTCTCGATTGTCGAGGAGAGACTTCAGGCGCTCAATGACGTTGTTCATAATGCACAGAAAGAAGAGCTGCTATACCGTGGACGAGGAATTCTACAGCATCTCGAAGTCATCGCCAGCAGCGTCGCGCTGATGTACGATGCGCAAGCAGACCCAGATGCTGTTGCACAAGAGATCGCAGTACGATGGATCCACCTGAAGGCACTTTCGCCACAAACTCATCCGCGCTCTCAAAACTGGAAAGAACTGTCGTCCATGGACAAGCGCATTTTCCTTGGAACAACGGAAGCAGCCGTCGGTGTTTCAGCAAAGCTCTGAGGCAAGCGTGGTTGCGAGGGATGCGATTGGTTGCGCAACAAAGCCCTGGAAACATTCAGCTACTATTGGGAGGATGCCAAAACAAAATCGCGCTTCAAGTAGACCGCGGAGCTAATTCATCCATTGCCTCATCTTGTGAGACTATTGAAGTGTGGTTACTTTTGCTGTCAGCTATCGATGTACCAGATGTTGTGGCACAACTTGCCTGCGAGGTCGAACTTGAGGCGCGCCGTGTCCTCGATTATCGCGACTTCTGGTCGGGATTGCAGCGTCGCGACTTACTGGCGCATCTATCTTCATCTTTTCGCAGACATGCATTAAATCGACCCCGAGATTCTGATCGTACCTTTCTCTCATGCGCCCTTCCGTACCGTAGATACTAGCCACGCAGGAAGCGGCTATGCGCTTGAAAGGCCACATCCGCGACGCACTCGGCACGACCCGCACGCCACAAAACGAAACATTCCCGCCAAGTCTTCCGCAATAGTCCAGCTCCAAGGTTCAGACCAGACAGCTGTTGTTCGAGTGCCCTAATAACTTTGACGAGATGTTTTGCCCAGTGGTGTTACCGTCGCGGCGGGAGTCCGTCAGCGCGCATCCCCACATTCTCCGGTGGTGCCAGGATGCGATCTCCCGAAGGGCGCGCCCGCCATCAGCATGATGGGTCTCCACTTCCAATGCCGAGAAGAGTAAAGCTTCATGATTACTACACAACCTTGCGGGTGATGTTGATGAGATACTGGAAAGGCGAAGATACTTTCAGTTACGCGCCGAAAGACGTACAACGTCGAGTTGCACCGTCTGGGTCGAAGACGAAGCAAATAACACGCTAGAGCCGATGCAAAACGAATTGCGTCGGAGAGGAAGACTACTTCATGCCATTGCAACAGTATACTATGGTTCGGCTGAAGACAGGGTAAAATGCGCCATGCACAAGCTTATTGATAAGGTTTTCCAGACGTCAGCCTTGTACCTCGCATCATGCAGGTGGTGGGATAGGATTGGCGGGTTAAGCAAACTGCACGACAAGCAACATTCCCCTTCCTCGCGGACCCAGCGCATGAACTTTGTAGCTCGAAAAGCATATGCAAACCCTAAATCAACCAGCCAGCGGTTCCCCAATGATCGTGCAGCAAGGATATGTGAATGCACTACGGAAGTGCGAACAGGTCCAATAATCGTCTTGGAGGCTCGACTGTCGTTGGTTTCACGACACCATCATTCGCTACTATAGCCAGATATTGCGTTAGCTGACACCCACTAGTTCAATACATGGATCAACGGTGACTGCTGATCGTCGCAGCAAATGGTGTCTCACTACATGGCACTGGAAGCCGAGTGATGCATCATCCGCGGGGAACTAGACATCCATGAACCGTGGAGCGCAACATTGCCGAGCATGGAGGGGGCGTATAAGTTAACAGGCTCGCCGCGCGTTCGTGCTGGAAGGATTCAGACACGAAAGATTGATTGCGACGAACGACTTCGAGATGGCGACTAACCACAGCGATGTTGAACTCATTCCTGGTACGGAGATTATCAATGAGGATAGCTCTGCGCAGAAGACGCTCATACCCACGCCCTCTTCTGATCCTCGCGACCCTTTGAACTGGACCCGGAAATGGAAGCGTGTGTTGACCCTTCACCAACGCCTGAGTCTTCGCTAACAGCTATCACAGTCATGGTGATGGCCTCGCAATGGCTCTTCACTTGGATCTCCGTCACTGGCGCACTATCCATTGCGCCCATGTTCCCTCTTCTGGGCGCCCAGTTCCATCTTAACAACAATCAGCTGGCTATGCTGACTGGTATCACCGTCATCACACTCGGTTTCGCCAACTTCATCATCGTGCCGCTCTCCAACATCTTCGGTCGGCGCGCTATCAGCTTGACCTTTTCCGTCTTCATTCTTTTGTCATGCGTATGGCAGGCGATGGCGACCAGTCATAGTAGTCTGCTGGCGGCGCGTGCTGTCAACGGTCTGGCTTGTGCGACGAGCGAGAGTATTCCCGTCCAGATGATTGCCGATGTCTTCTATCAGCATGAGAGGGGTCTCTGGACGGGTGTGTACTTGTAAGTGATGCTTCTTCGCGCGGTCGAACTTCTTCTGACGTATTCTGCAGCACCGGCTACTTCATGGGTGCTTTCCTGGGACCGATCATGGCTGGTTCCATGGCAGCACACTATGGCTGGCAGTCGTTCTTCTGGCTAGAAACAGCATTGTCTGGTGTTTCGGTCATTCTGATCGCACTCACCTTCCCTGAAACCAAGTACCATCGCGGCAACACAACGGTCATCCAAACCACCAGCAGCAATGTTAGCAACGAGGACCAGACCAAGCTCGAGAAACAAGCAACGGAGGCCGGTATTCAAGACTCGGAACGGAGTTCACTCGAGCAGCCCATCACTGTGCAGGGACGCCCATCCCGTGCGCAATTCATGCCGTTCATGAAGCCTGATGCGAGGTGGAAGATGTTTGTCGTGCGCGACACCTGGACGCCCATCAAGGTCTTCTTCAACCCGATCATCCTGTGGGCGGGACTGATGCTTGCTGGCCCAGCCGATATCCTCCTCTTCTTCAACCTCACCGAGTCGCCTGTCCTCGCTGCACCTCCTTATCTCTTCAGGCCAGACCAGGTCGGATATACAAACTTCGCGTTCGCAATTGGCGCCTTGTTCGGACTGGCAACAGCAGGTCCATACTCCGACTGGGTATCTGCCCGCGCAGCACGTAAAAATGGTGGCGTGCGCGAAGCGGAGATGCGCCTTCCGGCATTGTTCATCTACGTGGTCATCATGATGCTCTCGATCATCCTTGGCGGTGTTGCATACCAGCAGCAGTGGGCGTGGGGTCATATCGTGGTTTGGGGCTATGGTCTGGCTGGTCTCAGCGTCACCACCGTGCCCACCATCGCCATCGCCTACGCGATCGATTGCTACAAGCCCATTTCCGGAGAGATCATGGTCGTTGCTACAGTGTGCAAGAACTTCATCGGTTTCTCATACAGTTACTGGGTTTTCGACCTTGCGCACGTGAGCAAGAATGGGTGGATTACCCCCGCCATGGTCATTTTCGCTTGCGCAATGGGGCCTGCGCTGTTTGTATTCCCGTTGTACTTCGGGTTGGGTAAGAGGATTAGGCGATGGACGAAGGACAGTGATGTTCACCGCATGGAAGAAGTGATCTAGATGGTCAGTGGCAGTGTGTTGACGCGTTGATGCGTGGGGAGAAGCTCCGCTTGCATGGCTTTTGGAAGGCATGGTCGTGTGCCATGCCTGTCGCAATAGGTCACAATATACCCATTTCTTTTGTTAACCCTGGACTCCTCTCCCTTTGCGGTCTGTTTTGTAACGCGATGTCAATGATGGAGTTATGGAGTCGCCGAAGAGGACGCGTTCGAGAGGGCGGAAAGTGGGTCCCGTCTTCGCGCTAACCGTTGACGTCATCCCAAGTTTTCCACCAGCGGGCAACGCCAATAGCGTATGATTCATCTATCAATCCGCATCCATACATCAATTAATATCACCCGCAATCCAACATGTCCATTTCCACCCTCCAAGACAAAGTCGCAATAGTGACCGGCTGCAGCTCCGGTATCGGCCTCGCAACAACGCGTCTGTTCCTCGAGCGAGGCGCCTCAGTTTTCGGCATAGACATTGGCGCACAGCCGCAGAAGCTCGCGGAAGACTATTCGACATTCACATTCTACCAGACTGATCTCACCGAGTCCCAAGCTGCGGAACATGCAGTGGCGAAGTGCGTTGGCAAGCACAACCGCATTGATGTGTTGGTCAACTGCGCGGGCGTGAGCGATGGCTGGAGTAGTGCGGACACGATTCACGAGGAAGAGTGGGAGAGAGTGATGTCGATCAACCTGACAGTACCGATTCGTATGATGAAGGCGGTTCTGCCGGCGATGAAGGAGCAGAAGGGTGGTGCGATTGTCAACGTGGGTAGCAAAGCGGGGACTTCGGGGGCGAGTGCGGGAATCGCGTATACTGCTAGCAAACACGGTCTGGTAAGAGACGCTCCTTCTCAATTGATGATCTGTCAATGCTGATGATCGATAGGTCGGTGCGACGAAGAATGTGGCTTGGCGCTTCCACAAGGAAGGCATCCGGTGCAATGGTGTGCTGCCCGGCGGTGTTGCGACTAACATCGCCTCGTCGGTACAGATGGAGCACTTCGATTCCGCTGGCTTCAATGCGTTCTTGTAAGTTCTAATGGGCTTTACCTGCACGTTTCGGCCTTTGCTTACTCATACAGTCCCATCGTGCAAATGCACGTATCGAAAGACAGTGAGGGTACACCGGTTCCCTACATCGGGGTAGACAATGTCGCCCGTGGCATTGCTTTCCTCGCTTCAGAAGAGTCGACTATGATCAACGGCGCGATGATACCGATCGATAATGCCTGGTCTACCATATAGCATAGCATCGCTTCGGTAAAGAAATAGCAACATCAGGGGGGCATAGATTACTTCGATGACGACTCGTGTACCCATGGCCACGGCTATATATCGTGAAAAAAGACGTGTTCAGATTTGTTTCTTACAGTGGTAAACATAGATAAGCCTGTTGCTCAGGTTGCCTTCGGCACATCGCTGCCCCAAGGGTAAGCCTCGGGCATAGCCTTCCACGTCTTCAAATCGTCATAATTCCGCGTCGTGCTCTTATTCTGCAGTATCGTTTGCACAAAAGGCAAAATATCCGCGTACCCACTCATATCGCAGTGTCCACCAGACGGTATACTCATACCCAGCTTCTCACCCACACCTAACCAATTGTATACGACCTTAGCCGCAGGAAAGGTCACTTGGGCGGTGCCTTTGGAGTCCGTGAATTGATCGTTTACGTTCTGGGATAGGATAACCGCGCGTGGGGCGATGGCTGCGACAATCGTGTGGGCGTCGAAGGGCAATTTGGTGGATTGGCCGACGAACTGGGAGATGCCAGAAGATGTCCACCATCCTCCTCCAGATTTCTGGGTAATCGTCAGT